CTTTAGTGGTTTGCACGTAGTAGTTAGGCAAATCTTGTCAACTCTAAATAAATAAATTAAACTTTTTATTTTTGATATCGAAATTTGAATCACTCGAACTGGTTTGCGTTTTGTACGTACTGCACGCAAAGACAATATGTTTAATTTGCTTCTTATTTCATGTATTATAAGTTTGGATAATTATGCTCAGTACTGATTAAGTCCCTGTTTGGCCGGAGATTAAAATTAGATTTTTAGTAAATTTTTATAAAAGTTAATAAAATGTGTGGTTTAAAAGTTTTTGGACCCATAAAATATGTGGTTAAAATTAATTATTTTCAATTTGTACCAAACGGGGACTGAATATGAAAATAACAATGAAAAATTAAAAGATTTGACTACAATTATTAACAAGGTTGAATTCAACAACTCAAAAAGTTATCGAAGTAAAAAATTTCAAACGACCAAAGATTGATTTTTGAAACGAGCAATATAGGATTTGGGCTACTTTTCTTGACAATTTCCGTCTTTTAAACTGGAATTCCAGGAATAATTTTTTAGTAATAAATAAGTGAAAATTTTAAGATCTGTATCTTGATAGCCAACAATATACTATGATCTACCACTTCATTAGTCAATAAACTACTTTATTTAAACGTGATAATTTTCTATTTCTAACTCATTGGTATGAGTACTTATTAAATAAATAATACTCTATATATATACTATATATGGTCTTGCAGGAACGCCATTAATTTTCTTTTTATTTTGAATAAATTTCAACCAACTTGTTTGACAGCCAGGTATCTTGAAGTACGGTTATTAAAATCGATTTGGAAATTGGTCCGAAACAACAAACTGATTATCGAGTCACTAATTCTACCATTAAGTCAATTCTAATTTTATATTTGCTAATTATTTTCACATATACAATGATATAATAACAATAATTATGTTGAACCCAAAAAACATACCAATGATGTGGCCATCAAATCCTCAGGCCTCTCACGTTCACGCAAGCTCGGTTCCTGCACAATTGGACCAATTGTTAGTTACGTGTGGCCTTCTCCGGATGGGGTGGAGTTGGTTACGCGCACTCCGATTGTCAAGTCAGTTGGAGAAATAGGTATAGTAGTGTGGGAGAGCTTTAAACGTGAGCCTCCAATATGAAAAGAGATCGACTTTGGGAGAAACAAATAAAAGATATAGTAGTAAGATTATAACTTTTAGAGTCTAAACTTCCATTACTTTTGGATGGCACTGAATGCGAGTTTTTATACTTTGGCAAGACAAACAAAGGCCGTTGGATGACAATGCATGTAGCTTTATCCAAATGACTGACATTTCTTATCATAAACATTAATCAGTCACAACCTTAAATACTAATACCATTTTCGTATCCATAAGTCCTAGCTTGCGGTCTTGGACTTGACCAAATAAGCTGGCGGCGGCGGTGGTGGCAGTGAGTTGTCTTGTCAATCCTATAATACAAGATCCATTTAATGGGGTCGTCCTGGAACAGCTCTTCCCATGGGTCTGCGTGTAATGGGGTCGGTCCAACTTTGCCTCATGTTAGTGTACATGGCATGGGACCGTCGAAACCGTTTGCCACGTAGAATGGTTGAGACCACGTGTGAGTCCTCGTGTAGAGAGGCGTAACAAATTACATATAAAATTAATAGTAAATATCACAAGATTTTTATAATCAAAGGTCACTAGATATAAAGTTTGATTAATGTATATATAGTTTGGTCAGTAGTGTCCAACTGTTTTAATTCCTAAAATCACAACAATAAAGTGCCAATGATTTCAATTTTTACAATCTCGATAATAGAGTTTATAATTTACACTTCTAACAAAAAACTGAAAATTGCAAATCAGATAGTACGTAATTTTAAGTTAAAAATTAAAATATTAAGATATAATTTATGTAGAAAGAGCCAAGCATTGGACAGTCACCTAGACATACAATTTATGTAGAAAGAGCCAATCAGTAAGGCACAACTG